GAATACATGAATAATAATTATGATATAAAATATATGATACAAAAAAATAAAAATAAAAATACAAGATGTATCAAACTACCAACAAAGACGAGATCATGAACATGCGAAATTGTTTCATCAATGCATTGATCTGAGAATTACAAAACCAAAAATTAGTTTCATTTGATTAATGATAAAATCATTATGATATAGATGTTGACAATGGTGTCTTTAAAGCATGAGATGTAATAAGGATATTTTATTATTTGATTAATAAAATAGTTTATTCATTATTTATGTGCATGCATTGTTGAATACTTTATGAATACCATTGAAAATTTCGTAATTATTTATGTAACCTTAAATATTGTATATAAGTGTTATGTACAAGAGGATAATATTTCAGAATAATAATAGAAACGATGTTTGTAATGAATTTAATTAAAGTTTCAGAATCTTTAATTAAAACATTACTAATACATGTCATTCTCATTAAGAATGGAATAGTGTTATCCGCATCATTAATATAGAGGGATATTGAATGAGTGTATTATGCATAATGAGATTATGTAGAACTGGGACACGGACACAATTTAATTTTCTGATAATTTTCATTAAATATAGAAAATTAGATTTGAGTTTACCGATGGTCATATATAGAATGATCTTAATCTTGAGTTGTTAGTAGACTCCTATTAGTGGATTCGTGTTTTTTGACTTACTCAGTACGGATTTCGAGATCCTAAATCTTATTCCTGGTATCTTAGAAACATGATGAAATGGATAGTTGAGAATGCTAATATACAAGATGGAATCCATTCTTTCTTCTTTGAAAAAGCAGATAAATAATTCCCTTGAGGGTTGATTCGGTACTTGAATAAGTAACGAGCTCATATTCATGAATGTGTTTTATAAATATACTATTCATTAGAGAATCAATGGTACTCAAGGATAAAGATGTAATTAGAGAGGTTAGTGAATTTTACCTAGCTTTAATTATGAATTATTTATGGAGGATCGATCTATATGTAGTGACTATATCAAATGGACACTTCAAGTTCTTAGAAGTAAATTATGTCTATAATTTTGAGAGTGTAATTCCAAGTTTTTAGTGAAGTAACTTTTAGAATTAATTAATTAATTAAAGAATTTAATTAATTATTAATTTTAATGGAGCTTGAAATTATAGGTCCATGAGCCCCCGCACCATCCTCATATTATTTTCAAGACAAGATGAATTATCGGCATTTTATTTCACTCGCAAATAATTAATTAAGAATTAATTATATATTAAATAATGTGATTATTTAATTATTTTGTCACACACTGTGATGGGACCGCAGGGAGCGCGTGACACTGGAAAAATCCCACCGGGTTCTTTAGTTTCTTGCTCTCCAAGTAATCCGGTTTATTTGTTCGATAAGTTTTCCAATTAAATTCAATAGGGAAAGTAAACTGTGACTTTATTTGGAATTGAATTTGAGTTAAAAGTAGAAACTAGAGAAAGCATGAATTTTTTCTCTCCTCCGCTTGTGATATGCACCAACCACATGGAGATTCCCCTGTGGTTGGCCGCCCCCAATAGCTAATGGAAAGGAAAGTTTGTTTCTAAAATTAAAAGGGAAACTGTATTTTTAATGAGATTAAAAATATAGTAACAACTAATTTCCTATTGTTTTGTCTACATGCAAAAGGGTTCTCCTAATGTTCTATAAATATGAGATAATAGGAATTGGAGAAAATGATTTTTGCTCTCCAATTTACCTAGGGTGACCGAAAATTCATAGAGAGAAAAAGAGAAGAAAATTTCTACCAATTTTTCTAATTCTTTCACATACATGCGTTGATAGTGGAAGAATACTAAATTAGTGAGTGATCCGATAATTATACCTTTAGCCCACACTCATTGTCTTGCAAATTTCAAGGAGTAGACGATGAGGGTTTTAGTATTCTAAGAAAGCTTTGGAGCGAGGATCATTCGTTGGCCAAAGAATTCAAGTTATCATCTTAATTGTCGTCAAGGTATTTATTATCATAAATTAATGTGATTAATTTATTATTACATAAATTAATATAATCTATAACGTATTTAAAAAGGTTTTGTGAAAAGGTTTTTGTTATATACGATCTGCACTACTACGCTTTCGCACTTAAAAACGTTTCGAAAACCAACAACAGAATACATGATTAATTCAGATAAACATGTAAAACTAAAAATTATTTTCATTAGTTTAATAATAAAATCATTATGATACAGAATATAGCACTAATGAGAGAATATATGATATAAGGGAACAAAAAAAAAAATACAAGATATATTGAACCACCAACAAAGACGGAATTATGAACACATGCGAAATTGTTTCATTAATACAATGATCTGGAAATTACAAAAAGAAATGAAAATGAAGTTCGAAATAACTCGCACAAGGGGAGAAAAAAAAAAAACAAAACGTAGTTTTAAGCGAACGAAAAACACAAAAATGTACAAAAAAAGAAATGAAATTTTCACTAGAATAATGATCATATCATAATAAAATACAAATTCCATTAAACAAAAAATACAAAATTTAACATTTTGAAACTATGAGGGTTGACAAAATTGTATAAAAATAAAATAAAAATTCACTAGAATAATGATCATATCATAATGAAATACAAATTCCATTACAGGAAGAGCACAAAATTTAAAATTTTGAAACTATGAGAGTTGTTGGAAAAACACAAAAATGTATAAAAAAAGAAAATAAATTCACTAAAATAATGATCATATCACAATAAAATATAAATTCTAGCAAAGAAAAAAAACAAAACTGAACATTTTGGGCCGATTTTGTAACATTTTCAAAATAATTTTGTTTTTAGCACGAATGTAAAAATGAGATTATTTTGAGAATAATTATGAGACCGATTCTGAAATTGCATTTGGTTGATTTTATAAGAGATTATTTTAAGTATAATAAAAAAGTGAAATCGTGTTTGGTTATAATTATTAATTAATATATTATAACATTGTTGATAAGAACTAGAAAATGAAAACAGAAAAGTGAAAACAACTTTTAACCGTTTTTTAATTCCTTCACAAAAATCATTCACTGTTTTTTATTTTCTGTTTTCATTTTCAAAACATTTTGTTAAACAAACATAGTTTGCAAATCGTTTTTATTTTCGTGTCTTAAAAGACGTGAAGAAACGTTTTCAAAAACCAATTCCAAACGCACTCTTTAAAACTCTAGAGTCAGTTGGAATAAAATTCATTCTCGAAAAACATAAATAAATAAAAAAAGCATCCCATTACTTGAATGATAAGATCATAACAAAATAGAATTAAAAATAATAGACATCTTCACATACAAAATAATAATAATAATAATAATAATAATAATAATAATAATAATAATAGACATCATAGATATGAATGAAGAATGCAATACGCAAAATGAGGAACAAAAGGAAACTAAAAGAATACAAAAACAACAATATAGACCAACAATAACACGATATGAGAAAAGCAAACATGATGAGAAACAAATATGCACAAACCTTCCCTTATAGACAACTGAACAAACTTCGCCTTTGTCTCATCTCACAGACCATGAACGTCAAAGACCCTTCCCTTTGTCTGATGTCTCAAATGATGAACACCAAAGAAGGAATATATGCCAGAGAACAAAAAATAGTGAAAACAATTGTCACACGAGATCAAATTCAAAAATGAAAAGAAGTCGGAAAAACATAAACCGTGAAAGAAAAAGACATACATATCAGAATAAATTCAAATCATTGACTACACAAAAATCAGATCCGGTTAAAATAGGTAAGTAAATATCTAAAGTATAATGATAAAAATCAGAATACAAAAAACAACACTAACCATATAAGTAACATGCCTAAAACACTTAATAAGGGCAATTCTGGGAAAAATATGTCTTATAAAATTGAAATCAACATTTTTGTAATATTGTACAATAGTCGATATTTTTACAAATACAACTTCAATAGTAGGCCTTTTATTTAGATACTTCAAACAAAAATGGAAGTAGTCACCAGATAGGAGTTTTCAAGACCTCTACTATTAATATGATTTTACTCCTGTATTAGAAATAGTTCCTCCCAATTACTAAAAACTCGGCTGAAAGGTATACTTAAATCATGATTTTTTATTAGGTAATCTTGACAAATACCTCTTAAAAGTACATAGGTCATGATTTTTATATTTTACTCTTAATTTATAACCTTTTTAGTCAAATAATTACACTAACAAAAAGGAATTTATCAAGAGTAAGGAGTAAAAATCTAGACTCATGCACTCTTAAGGGTAAATTCTATAATTTTCTCTTCTTGATTCTAATGTTTGAAATTTAATTTTTTTATGAGAGAAAAACACTGTAACAAAATTAATAATTTAAATTTAAGTATATAAAATAAATGGTCCTAACTATAAACACATTCCAAAATAAATTTGTAATAATTGAGCAATATGAACTTTTTTCTTTTTCTTTTTGGAGATACCGTGGGGAATAAGGCCAAGAATTTGATTTGATTTCCACGAGTGCCTTTTCTTTTCTTCTTTTTTTTTTTTTTTCCTTTTCTTTTACATCCCAAAGTATATGTGTAGATTTCTCAGTAGAAAATGAAAGGAAGCCCAATCATCCAGTTTTCCATCAAACAATAACCAATGCACCAAAATAATAAAAATAAGGAGTCAATCAAGTACAATGATAGGCACTAAGCACCACTCATCATTAATTTAATCTTCACAATCAAGAATCTAAAACTATACAAGATCACAAAAAGAGTTTAATTGTTCCACCACCATAAACCAAATAGTTCTTTCTCAAAACTTCACACACAATTCATATTTCAAACACTCAAAAGAGGCCCAAAAGCCTTTCAAACACCCCAATTCAAGAGTCCATAATTCCGTACTCTTGGTACCAGTCTTGCCCCAATTCAACGTAGGGTGCCTTTTTCAAAAGGGCATGCACCCTCATATGTTGTGGGGTATTAACATTATTAGCTAAATTGTTTTTTTTTTTTTTTTTTTTTTTTTTTTTTTTTTTTTTTTGGGCATGTAATATATATGAGCAAGATACAAGTATACCACTAATAGTCTATTAGTTATAAGCCTTAAAAAAAGGAGCGTTTGACAGGGGCTCTTCCAACAGCTCTCATCAAGCTGGCTATTTCAAGAACCCTAGCAACTTTTGTTCCTCTCTTGGCCTCGGCCGATGCCCTTCTTTCCTCGGCTTTTCGATGTACTTTTGCAATGTCATTTTGCATCTTTTCTAGTGCTCTAGCTCTTTTCTCCTCCAGCTTCCTCTACACAAAAGTAAATAGAGAATTTTGGATGTATAATATTGTACGTGGTCATGAGTAATCATTTAACGTTATACCAACTTTACCTCGAGTTCGATACGAGGGAAAAAAAAAATAAACAGTGAGTATCAACCGTTGTGTACCAATGAAGTTGACTTGAGAATAGAGCACTAAAATAAGATTGATAGCTTTTAAAATCTTTAGTGCGAACTCCACCAAACTAAATATATGATATATTATTACCAATGAAACATACACTATCAACCAATTAAAATTGCAAAATCAGACAGGGAGCTTCTCTGTAGGATAAAAAAATAAATAAATTACGGGTAGTTTTTTTATTTTCAACCATTAAATTTGTATTAAAAACTGTCTGTTATGTATATTTTTTCAATCTGATATTATTTTGACTTAATTTAACAATCAGAAACTGACACTACTGATAGACCAGACCTATAAGAGAAACTCCCAATCAGAAAATACACTTGAGTGAACATCTGCCTACGTACCAAAGCTACCTTCAAATACGTTGATGGTTTTTCAATCATATCATATCATATAAATCCAAACAAGTACAAAGAAAACTTCAATCGCCTATGAGGTAATTAACACGCGCATGAAAGAAAAACCTCAATTATAACTATAAATGGATATGGCACAAAACTAAATGGAAGGAAGAAAAGTTTGTGAGTAGTATTTGTCTCAATAACATTTCATTATCATTATACTGGACATCAAACTCATCATTACACTAATCAGTGTACTATTACTATTAGCGTATCTGATTAACGTAATCAATACTTTGGAAGACCAATATGTGCTTATAAAGTTATAACTACCATCATTTACTTCTAGCTAGCTAATTAATTAGAACCACAATCGTGGTCAGCGCCAATAAGGAAACCATCCTCTGCATGAAAACAAAATTAACTATGCAACATAAGACAAATGAAAGCAACCGTATAACAACCCAAAATGAACATCATTTCAATTGTACAACTTTAAAATCCTTCCCTTTTCTCGCACTAAAAGAATAGAATTTTTTATTTTCAGAATTAATCACTGATTTTGAGCTATATATCAAAAAGACACTCTATTAAAATTAAAATTATACTGTTTCTTTCTCTTTTGATTGGTTTGCTATATTGTTGGATTTTGGACTTTGGGAGGATTTTTTATTTTCTTCTTCATTTTTGATTTAGTATATCTAAGTGAAGAATCTAATAGGTGAGGAATCAACGTAGTTGGTATGGTGTATTTGATTCCGATACCAGTTATTCTCTCTCGTCGTTTACTTAAAAAAATACGTATTTCAACTAGCTTCTGCAATCTTCATCCAAGAATCACTAATTTGAACTATATATTAAAATACACTAAATTAAAATAAAAATTATACTATGTCTTTCTCTTTTGAGTGGTTTCTATTTGGTTCCGATATCAGTTATTCTTTCTACTTAAAAGATTACGTACCTCAACTTTCTTCATCCAAGAAGTAGCCTTCTGAACTTGCTCGCTCTCCCACCCACTGATGATGGCATCTTCCCTCTTAAACCTATTATTTACTTTCGAAACCTTCGCGTTCTGCCATGCTGATATCTTGGACTCCACCTCCTCCTTCTTCACTCTCTGCAACGACGCCGCCATCTGATCTCCGCTGCTAACCACCGCCGAAGAAGACGACGTCGACGTCAACATCGCCCCGGCCCGCCTTCTCGGCGATTCCGCTGCGGGGCCCTGCAGCATGCTATTATCCGGCACGATCGCCAACGGATTCGTCTCCTCCTCCGGTGCGTCGTCCTCTCCGATCCTCCCCAAGTTCATGTTCCCGCCAATATTGTTAGCATTATTCATGATAGACGACGCCGTATGGTGGTTGTTGTTGTTGCTGCTGCCGCTGTCGTTGTCGTTTGTGCCGATGGCGGAGCCGGCGAGGACGAGGGCGCTGAACTCCCGGCTCATGGAGGTGAAGTTTTCGCTGAGGGCGGCGTCGCTCGCCATGGAAATCGACAACGATCTGTGGCTGCTCGTCTCCCAGGCCTCTCTCGGGCGGCCCCGGTTCGCCGTCTCCGGCGCCGGTTGGGGTGGAGTTAGAGCGTGGATGTCTCGGAACTGCTCTTCGTCGTCGTCGTCGTGGTTGTTGTCGTCGTTTTCTTCATCCGGGTGGTTGTCGTTTCGGAGGAGTAGTGCTTCATAGCTGGTGCTTGGTCTATTGTAAGTTTGATCATTCAACATGGGAGAATGATATGATGTTGTTTTGTTGTTCGTGGCGTTTTGTTTGGTGTTTGGTTGAGGAGAAAATATTTTGTTGTGATGGGAAAGTGAAAGAGAAAGAGAAGATGTTAGGCATAATAATTTGTGTATAATTGGTGTTTTAGACAACAGTAATGGAGATGATTAATGAAGAGGTATATCGACCACATACTTTACATGTTGTTGAGAGAGGAGAGAGTTCGGGAAGTTGAGGAGGGGCTTTTGAAGTGGAAAAGTATCGTAATGTAAAGTAGGAAAAAAAAAAAAAAAAGAGTAAATAAGTCTAGAGACATGCGAATATAATAGGATAAAAAAGGAAGATCATATTTTTGGGTCTTTAATTTTTCTTGTTTATTTTTCTGATCAGCAAATTTTTTTTTTCTTTTAATCTATTATTTTGGCCCTTCTCTTAGATGCCCTTCTCTTAGATGCCCTCGTTTATGGGGTGTTTTCTTCATTTTCACCCAATAGTGCTAATGATAATTAATTAACAATAAATAATTAATGATGCTAATACATACATGTGCGGTGAGTTGTCATCTCTTTCATTAATAAATATAGTATTTCAATATATATATATATAAATATTTTAAGTCTGACAACGTATTACTGCGTGAAATGTAACGGTCGTGTTTGTAATTGATTTCGTTTTTATTTTTCACATTTTTTGAGAAAGAAAAAATGAAAACATTTTTAAAACAGCGTTTGGCGTAATAAAGGTATAAAACAGAAATAAAAATGATTTTCTAGTTTAATGTAAAATGATAGAGAAATGAAAAATGACTTTTAGTCGTTTTTCATTTTTTATTTTCGTTTTCTCCTCTCTTGAGCACAGAGAGAGACATTAATGGGTTTTTTATACTGAAAATAATTTTTTGATAAAACTACCAAACACATCTTCAAAAAGGATTTCTGTCTTAAATTGAAAACGTTTTCATTTTCATTTTCATACAAAAAAACAAAATTATTTCAAAACGAGTTACAAACGCGCCCAACATTTTTTATTTATCTGTGTAACATTGTTTCCGTATTTATTTAACATTCATTTTATATATTTAGTCTCAATAAAAATATAACATACCATCAAGTTACATGTAAATTGTTTTAATGTTATTATATCACATTAAAAAGTTACAAATTCATATAAAATTGTTACATCAACTTGATTGTATGGTGGTCGGACATAAAATCATTTATATATGTGTGTGTATAAACATATATATATATATAAACATTTTTCATTAGACATCACATCAAAAGAAGGTCATTAGATGTATGGGATTATACAATAAAATTGCCTAGTGAAACATCTTAATCACGCAATAATGAAAATTTTCAATCTTCAACATATAGCCAATGAGCCATGTTTATAGTCGGCATTTTAGAAATGCCAATGGTATGATTGTGTCAGTGTTGTCGTTTTCGACATTGTTGCGGATATGAACGACTGTTGCATCCTAGTAGTATGTAGGTTTTGACTAAATCATCAGAAATAGAGTAGGTCTTATAACCATAAATCTTTTTTTTTTTTTTTTTCCTTATTGATCTGTACCCATAAATTATTGAGATAGTACAGCATTGCAACATTAACCTTGGATATTTGAAAGTAAAATGCATTTAAAACATAAATATTTTTGGGAATTGTACTTTATGTTAAGCTTCCTTGCCTAAAATGACAGTTGACTCCAAATAGACTCGTTGATCACAGCCTGAATCATTGAGATTATATATGGAGTTAATGGTAATTAACGCCATTACACACACCCTTTGATCAGTAAGAGGGCACATGAATCAACGGCTAGGAGACAAACGTCTCAGATCACCTTTTCAATTTTGATATCTAAAATGTTATATATTTAATCAACTAAATCGTCAGTTGTTTACAAAATTTTAAATATTATTTTAACTTATTTTTTCTTGTTTTAAAATTTGATTCCATTTAATGTATCGACATATAATTAGTAAATATATCATTTGAGACCCTAAAAATACAATAAGTGATCTGAATCTAGAGATTTGCGAGCGAAATCTCTTTATTCTTTATTCTTAAAGTAAATAAAGACACGCATGAAACTTTCACCTTATTAATTATTAATTAGGTTAAAAGTAGTCCCTCAAATTCAACAAAAGTTGTATTCGGGGATATTGCATAAATATACCAAACCTTCTGCGCCAAAAGTTGAATTGATGAGTAGACAAAGAGGTGCAAATGCTAAAGAAATTATTCTTGAAAAAAAATAAATAAATAAATAAAATTGTGTCGGCCGAAGGATGATGCGAGGAGCCCACCAAAGTTAGTAGTGTTGATGGACCACTCACACTCTTAACACACGCGTCACACAGTAACAATCATACTTCTGTTGTGCATCACACGTGGCGTAAAGCTACAGGCTGTAGGGTCCATCCAAGAAGCTACGTATGTTCCTCTCCATGCAAGTGATGACGTAAGTGGTACAAAGCATGCCACGTGTACGTCCCCGTTAGATTTTTCCCTCGGGTTTTCAAGATGCCCACGTCTCACGTGATTAATCAATTAATTCAAATCCCTCCCTTGGTAATCTATTATTATCTTGCTTTCTTAAGAATTAAGATCACATATTAGAGAAAGATCAAATCAATGCTTACTAGAATTTTATTGGTTAATTAATAGTTAATATACACGCATGATAATCCAGTCCATCATATAATAATATTCTTTTTCTTTGCTAGGGTTTGGTGACCAATCAAATACCAACATTTGGTTGATATGATTATTAGAAGATTATGTTCTGATGTAATGGAAGTGTTTTAAAGTGTGAAAGTGGTCTGTGCCAAGTGTCCACTAATCAACATTAAGAAACAAAAAAGTTTTGGGATACAGTTGTGGCTGAGTCTTAATTGGAAAACTGGGGTTGTGTGAGAAAATGACCGATTGATAAATATTGTTGATCATCTCGTGATGGGTTAAATTGTTTATCCAATAAAATGAAATAATGCCATTTTTCTTGAGCACGATTTGAATCATATTAAATTATACCGTTTTGAAAAATATAAATAATATTTTTTTATTATTTTTTATATTAATTATTTCATAAATAAATTTTATTAATATGATATATTATTATTTAAATAAAAAATAAATTATTAAAGTTTACGTTGTAAATAATAAATATAAAAAATGATAAAAAAATTACAAAAAGAATACACCAACATTGAGGGTTTATCAAATTTATAATGTAATGATGACGTAAAAACCGCGTTTGGAGTCCACGTCAATTTGATAACCCAGGACTCTTCTTTGAATTAAATAGAACGATGGCTAGTTATATATCATATAGATGTCCAGCGTTCTAACTCATTTATTTCATTAATTTCATTAATTTAAATTTTTAATTTAAGTTAAAAATAAAATTTTAGTGGGAGAAATTAGACAACAAACTATTGAGGAAGACATAAGAAAATAACATTTGCAAGATTTGCTGGAAAGTTAAAAGTTTTTTTAAGTAGGGCGCATCTAGCTAAGACAAATACTTCAATGTGGTAGTTAGAAAAAAGAAGTAATTGCAAATATCACATTTGGGAAAAAATAATATTATCTTATACGACTAAAAAAATATTCAAGTACGTGTATATTTGAGAAAAATTATTTTAATTGAGGACATAAAAGATACAATTTAATGTCTATAAAAAAAGATACAATTTAATTAGACACGTTTAAAAATATAAGATTGAGAAAAAAATGGTGAATCAAAACTAACATTTGAAGCAAGTGAAAAATAGCAAGAGAGTACTAATTGTTCTTAACTTTAGGGTAGTCCAACTCCATCTATCAATTACAATTACCGTTAACAATTTTTATAATTCGATTAATCAACAATAATCCCACAGTTTTATATTTATGTTATCTTTATTGATTTAAAAAAGAAGGTAGAATGTTAAAAATATTATAATACTCTCCAAAGGTGTTCGGCCATATTTTTTAAGAAGAAAAATAATCTGAATATTTTCTAATAAATTAAGGAGAAATTTTCAAGAATGATATAAAAAAATAATATTATTTTATTTTTGCCATTAATTTTAAATTTACCAATCATGTCATTTAATGTTCTGTTAGGATATCTTTCATATTCTATAAAAAAAAAAAAAAAAATTTATTGGGATATTTTCTTTTATTCTACTAAAATATGTTTCATACCAAACTATTTTTTAATGACATAAAATAATAAAATGATGAAAAATAATAGTTATTCTTGACTGACATAAAATGTTAGGTTCATATAATTAGGTCGTGGCATCTCTCTATTTTTCTGTTGAGTTTAATCTTTGGGCACTTTATAGGAACACCACAAGTTTTAGTATGGATTGACATATGCCAAGAGACATAAACTATTGTAGAGATTGTCACAACCAAAGATACATAAAAATCGTAAAATCCATTAAAATCACAAAATATATACATGAAAAATCACAAAACTCTCACAAAATTCAAAAGTACCGAATCAAATACACAAAAGTACAAGTATAATTTTGCTTGGTACACAAAACTTAAATGATGTCATTGTGATATATTTTTAAGGGAAAAAATAATATTATCTTATACGACTAAAAAAATATTCAAGTACGTGTATATTTGAGAAAAATTATTTTAATTGAGGACATAAAAGATACAATTTAATGTCTATAAAAAAAGATACAATTTAATTAGACACGTTTAAAAATATAAGATTGAGAAAAAAAAGGATGAATCAAAACTAACATTTGAAGCAAGTGAAATATAGCAAGAGAGTACTAATTGTTCTTAACTTTAGGGTAGTCCAACTCCATCTATCAATTACAATTACGGTTAACAATTTTTATAATTCGATTAATCAACAATAATCCCACAGTTTTATATTTATGTTATCTTTATTGATTTAAAAAAGAAGGTAGAATGTTAAAAATATTATAATACTCTCCAAAGGTGTTCGGCCATATTTTTTAAGAAGAAAAATAATCTGAATATTTTCTAATAAATTAAGGAGAAATTTTCAAGAATGATATAAAAAAATAATATTATTTTATTTTTGCCATTAATTTTAAATTTACCAATCATGTCATTTAATGTTCTGTTAGGATATCTTTCATATTCTATCAAAAAAAAAAATTTATTGGGATATTTTTTTTTTTTCTACTAAAATATGTTTCATACCAAACTATTTTTTAATGACATAAAATAATAAAATGATGAAAAATAATAGTTATTCTTGACTGA